TGAATTTCAAAGCCGAAATAAATCCAATGCAAAATAATTCTTACAGAAAGGAGCTCATATCTTTTATGGACTGTATACAATAAAATAGATACCAGTTTAACTAAATTATCTCTCCTCTACACAAGAGACGCACAGCAAGACATTTACTAGGAGATCGAAGATGGAATTATTCTCGCGCTAGTCTTAAATAAGTCTAACAAGGGAAGTCTGCACAAGGGCGACGATGACTTCTTTAAAAAAAAAATTGTATCTCATGAGAATTAGATCCCTGTTTAACTAAATATTCTCTCCTTCAAACAAGAGATCACGATGTAGTGCAAATTTAAATAAAATGTATACACCCATTTTATTCTCCACTGTAGACCTTCCGACATTGGTAACGGTAATTGTAAGATATTCTGTTTTATATTTTCTTAATTCATCCTTCGCGTCGCGTATGTTGTGTGTGATGAATGTTAGTGAATGTTAGCTTGCTGGCTGGCCGACTGCCGGGCAGGCTGGCCTCTCTAACTGGCCACCTCGTGTGAGTGTCGGTGTGCTGAGGATATGAAGCAAATCTTAGATGAATGAAAAAAAAATGTGAGAGGACTACTTTGGCTTGTCAAGAAGAAGAAAGAAAATTGCATGGGGCCAAGCAAACTACATCCATACAGACAGACACATATAAAATAGATAGGGGGGTCACGACAAAATATTTATATATGTGTGTGCGTGGGTATACCTTTGAATTTTGTTTGTGCAAATAGTTGTATGTATGTATTTAGATACAAGGCAAACACATTTTCAAGTGTGTGTGTGTGTGTGAATGTCTATACATATATATATATATTTGGTTAAGTTTGCATTTCTAAAAAATGTTACTGCTTGCTACAAGGATTTAATATTTTTGCTGAGTTTTTTTCTTTTTTTTCTGGTTTAAGGACTTTGGATATTTTATTTTACTTTAAGCAGGGTTAGCTTCTCACCTCGAAGTAATATATTTTTGTGTGAGTGTGTGGGATATTTTCACTTTCACTATATTATTTGCAGCATATTGACCCAGGAGATTTTTATTCTATATATATTTTTTTATTTAAGACGATTTTTAGATCTGCCTTAGATTTGTTCCAATTGTTTTCCTTTTTTGGTTTATTTTACTTTGGACCCTATTTAATTTTTGTTTCATTTTTTCTTTCTTTATTTGGCCCAACAGTAACATCAATGTCCTTGGTTAAATTTTTCTAGTGCATTGACATTGTTTTGAATCGTTTTTTTTTTTGGTTCACTTGTATGTGTTGATATTTTTTCCGCTTTTTTATTGCAAAAATTTGGGTTACTGCACAATTTTCTAAATATTTATTATTTTTTTTTTCTTTATCTGCTTTTATTTACAGGTAATTTTTTGTTTAAATATTTTCACAACACTTCACAAAAACAACAATGCAGAAGAAGAAAACTTTCACTTGTTCCATTTGCATTGGATCGGAAAAATGAAAACGAAACCTTTCGCATTGGCCTTTTTTGTTTGCCTCTTGCTTTGATTTTTTCTATTTTTTTATTGTTTTCCCTTCCCCACCTTCACTTTTCACATTCTATGGAATTTATTTTGGTATGCTGGGAAAGACGAAGCCATGAATTGCTGCATGCATGTTGTCCTGACATTTAAAGGGGAGCCAAGGACACAGGATGAAACACAACACTTCAGCCACTTCAGCTGGCATATTCAATGGAAAGTTTATTTTTATTTATTTTTGCTTCTTTTTCTTCCTCTCCTTTGTGATTCTTTTTCTTGGAGAAGCCTTGCCTTTATTTCCACATTTTATTGATGCAAACAAATTTAAACTTTTTTCTAAATAAAATTCACTTTTCCATCACTGACAACAGTATGCCATTTTAAATATATCACACAAACGAGCAAGAAAGAGCACGAGAGCTCACCATCACGAACAGTTATCGTCGTAGGTTCCTAGTACACTACTAATACCTACGAGCAAAGTTAAAGGTATATTTCATTTGCATCTGCATGCTTTTTTCTGTTTTGTGTTGTGCCTTGCTTTGTTTTGGGATGTATACAACACTTCGGCTGTGAAACGCTCTCAGAGAGAAAATAAACGGTAGTTTTTGTTTTGATTTACGAAGACAGCCATTGAGAGAAAGCGAGTGACAAATGCTGAGTACAACAGCAAAACAATATGTCATGCGCCTTATAAACATGCATGTGTGAGTGCAAATGAAAAAACCCGTTACACTGACATTGCGCCAGTGTTGCCAATCACCACAGAGACATACATCATTGTTGTGAAGAAGCATCAGAGAAGTGAAATTTTGTAAACATTGGAATTATCACAAACAAATTTTGTTAATTGCCTCCAGAGTGAAACAGAAACCTTACAAGAACACTCGGAAAATTAATTGGGTTAAGTTCGAAGCTAAAATTTTTTATAAACTTATATGTGTGAATGCAAACGAAAAAACCCGTTACACTGACATTGCAGCAGTGTTGCCAATCACCACACAGACACTCACCATTGTTATGAAGAAACATCAGAACAATGGAATTTTGTAAATTATCACAAAAAATATTCCCACCTACAGAGTAAAACAAAAGCCTTACGGGAACCCTCGGAAAACGAACGGGGATAATTTCAAAGCTAAAACACCATCCCCATTCCAACACGCCTACATCAAAGTCAAATCTGCGGATACATCGTGCATACAAAGTTTATGGAAAGAGGTAACTGGGACCGTAATCCCCAAAGCCGAGTCTTAGACTACGTATGGACTCTAGACCGATTATCATTTCATCCTTTCTACTTCTATAGCACTAGAAACATTACTAGATTTTGAAAGCTCGAGTGGCAAATCCGAACACGCCTACATCCAAAGAAAATCTGTGGATACTGTATTACTGCCTGAGGTGGTCGGACAAGAGTGAAATCAAGAATGCTAATGAAGCGGCCAGATTTCGAAGCTGTGAACGAGTATAGACGAACTCTTCTAAGGCGCTATAAGACTTATTGTCATTTAACAAACCCTTGGAAGAAAATTTTAGCCGTTGATCATAATTATCTCAGAAAGCTGCTAACGAGGTTAAAAAACAACTTTCGGGAACGCTATAAATATTCCAGTCCTTTAACATACCATAGAAGGATACCGAAAAGCACAGAGAACAATTCAAAGGCAAAAGCGAAATAAGGAAAGCTAAACGTAGATCTTGAATCAATCGAAGGAGTTAACGAAGCGCCTAGAATTCGAAGCAGTGAACGAGGTTATAGGAACTCTTTTAAGGTGCTATAAGGCTTCATGTCCTCTAACATACCCTGGGAGGAAATCTCAGTCGGTATTGTAGTCATTATAATCTCAGAACGATTGGTTGATGTAAAGAAAGGAACTCTTCCGAAGCGCTATAAGATTTTTATCCTCTAAAATACCCTGGTAGCAAATCTCAGCCGGTATGCTGGTCAAATGATCCTTGCGAAAGGCTGATCGTAAAGCATATAACACAAAGCTAGTAAGACGAAACTTAGTACAGATTCGGAAGTTTACAGAGAACAATTCAATGGGAACAAAATTGAAATCAACGAAGTAGTCGAAGTGCTAATAAGGCTTCATGTCTTAACATACAGGGAAAGGTGTGTAGTCATTATAATCTCGATTGGTTGATGTAAAGAGACTGCGAGAAACGAATGGCCCCACAAGTACGATTACAGGTATTCAGGAAAACTCACATGAGTTCTGTTATGTTCCCTCCCTATATGACTTTTATGACGTTGGACTAAATATTCCTAACAGGAAATTCTGGGCAAGTGGCTGCTTTCCCTCTGGTTGATCTGTCGATATATACAGACGGGTCGATGGATGGATGGAATGTACTGGTTCAGGTGTTTACTACATGTAATTAGGTATAAATAACTCATATAAACTTAAAGATCTCTCTAGCATCATTCAGGCATTTAGGAACGGTGACAAAATATATCGATAGTCAGGCGGCACTTGAGGCCCTTATAAGTCGTGTACTATAATTTCAAAAGCGGTTCTTGACTGTAAAGGTGCTGTACATAATTTTTGTTAAGTTCCAGGACATAGTGGTGTCTATCTGGACACCTGAAGATGTACATCATTCTTGACTGTAAAGGATCACCATGATATGGAACCGTAGGTTAATTGTGGTTGAGTTCCAAGACATAGTTATATAGATGAGTATAAAATAGCCGACAAGCTTGCTCGAGGAGGTTTGCAGTTGTCCACTCTACCGATTGAGGGATTAGCTCTTCCCAATTAGCTATTTCATAGGGCAAATAGGGAAGAGCTAATATGAGAGGGCCAGCAGATGGTCAGCGGAACCTGTATACAGAATTTCAAAAACTACCTGACATGAGTTCTCACGTCTTAGAACCGCTGCCAGGATATAGTGACGCATAGATGGGCAAGAAATATGTGGCGAGCTTACTCGAGAGCGTTCGCACTCGTCCAGTCTACCGATTGAGGAACGTGTACGACCTTCTATTAACTATTTCATTGGCGAAATCCGGAAGAGCTTCTGCAAAAAAAGCCAGCGGCCAGGCGATCGTCAGGGAAAGCAGGATACAAGACTTCAAAAACTATCTGACCTAAGTTCTCACGTCGTAGAACGACATCGCTGCTGTCTCATAATAAGAGAGATAAGAGTCACTGTAGGTATCATAACAAGTCGCTGCAGGATCACAGATCATTTACTTCCAAATGGGACACCAATGAAGTGGATTATTGCCGTTTATGTTTATGTGAGGATGAAGGACCATCGCTAAGTAGCAGCAGATATTGACTGCTTGGTAAATATGAAATTGATACTCTAGCATTCTTCTTCGGAATGGATCCCCTAAAAAATCTTTAGCCTTGTTAAAATCTTGGTTTCAAACTTGTCTATGGCCGAAAGTTAAAAGAACCGATCATTCGACATTATTTTGCTTATATTTAGTCATTACTTAGGAAGACCAGCTGTCGGAATTCATTAAAATTATATTTCTTTTTTATTTTTCACATTAATTTTTTGCAATTCTCAACAAATTTGCCCGTCCAACATTAGACGGCTCACGACATGTCTCCAAAGATTTATCATAGACCAGACCTGGAGTACATTCCAATACGACGCCGCGACCCCTCACACAATAATAATACTTTTGCGGATTTACATGTGGAAAGAAGTGGATACCTTCAATGGGACATTGAATATCGGCAGTCTTGGGTGGACTCTTTGAAAATGGTTTGATGTTACGTTGCAGGGTGGAGATCTGAAATGGGAAGAAAATTTAAAAAGTTATACATCTGCTTTAAATTTAAGACCCCTCCCCTCCCCAACTTACCGTACAATTAACTTTCGATGGGAAATCACAACAATTACATTCGGTATTAAATTGTAAACCATTCGAACAATTCCTCGCGTTGGCCTCACCATCCACGCACACATAATATTTATCACAATATGCCTTGCTGGGTAAAAATGTAATATTCGTCGGATCATTGAAAATGGTACACATATTATCGACACAATCGACATATTGTGGAAAATCACAACGATCGGTTTCCGAATTATACTGCAGGCCATCACAACATTCGCGAACGACAGGCGTACCGGCATAACATAGAACATACTTTGTGCATGTACGATCATAACAGAATGACGACAATGCTGCCGTACAATTCTGTATACATTGAGCATCTTGGGGTAAGGTGCAGGATTGGACGCGTGAATCGAAGAGATATCCTTCTACACAGCTACGTTTAACGGGTGTCTCATCCATACACACGTAGTATTCCGAACAATTACCCAAAACGGGTAGGAAAATGTTATCAGCAACGCCGGAACATACGTTCACATCTTCGGCATGGCTCAAAGCCAAGGTGGCCAGGAGGAGGGCAAAGGTGAATAGGATAAATTTCACTGGAAAGGGGAAAAAAGAATAATTAAAAGTTATCTTTCAGATCGGCAGTTTTGGGGTCTTCCTATGAACTCTTCGTAAAGTATCGATGCCTGCACAGCTAGAACACAAATTGGCATCGTATAAGATCGAAGTTTTAGGAATAAATGCGATGAGTTGGAATAAATGCGATGAACTTCGAGAACAGAAAATGGCAACTATGTCTTATACAGTGGGAAAGAAAAGGGAGGTGAAAACCGGAGTTGGGATCATAATGTCGAAGAATGCTAAGACGTTGTTGTTATCGTATAAGATCGAAGTTTTAGGTATAAGAGAAACGAAATGTCAGGCTGTACCCACAGATCCAGGGGCACCTGACACCCGCGGCACGGATAACCTCCGATCAGGCTCGAGACCGAGGACTCTCCCAGTTCGACGCAAGTCGGGGCTCCCAACAAACGACTTTGAATAAATACCTCAACACAAACAATTAACATGCAACGGTGCAACCAACCGAGCCCACCTGCAAGGGGGCTATGCACGAGGACCACCTCCACTAAGTCCTGTCCTTCTCCTAAATGCTTCACGAGAAAAACTACTTAAAGAACTATAGGCCCGATCGTCTTCAAGGGCCCTACAGAAATCCCACCGCGCACCTCCATTCGATATACCCATCTTGGCTAAATCTCTAATGTCATCATAGTCAGTATATGCTTCCAGTCGTCAGTCATCCCGCATCCACATAAATCCGTCTGGGACAGGCTTCTTTCATGCAGAAACGCATTGAGAGAACCATGCCCCGTCAGTAAGAAACCAGTACTTAAGCCGAAGCGAAAGTCTGGCCAATCCACTACGAACGTTGCATCACGAATAAATTCGTATGGCACCCTCGCGTTGTCATTGTTAGGTGGACACACAATGACAAAGGAAGGGTGTCCTCCACCTATCAACAACACACTCCCGAAGGATAGTGCTGTACCGCCAACTATCCTCATCCACCCGATCAGAAGGCCTGAGCCAATCATCCTCATCCAACTGCAAACTTTCTTCTTCTTGGCTGGCTTGTGACAAAACTTTCGTTAAGCGTATACGTGATAGACCCACATCTCACCTCAAGATCAAGCGACGCGTTCCGTACAGGAACACACAACACAATTTATATCCACGCTTAATGAAATCGGAATAAAATAGTCGACAAGCTTGCTCGAGAGGGTTCGCAGGTGACCAGTCTACCGATTGAGGGATGTGTACGACCTCCTATTGGTTATTTCATTGGCGAAATACGAAAACAACTGCGAACCTTGATACAGGATTTCAAAAAAGATCTGGCCTGAATTCTCAGGGCGTAGAACTACTTCGCTGCTATCTCATAGTAAGAGAGAGATAAGAATCACTGTAGCGATCATAACAGGTAGCTTCAGGATTACATGACTCACTTCCAAATGGGATATCAGTGAAGTGGATTTTTGAATTTGAGAGGAAGTGAAACTACCTCCCACTTGGAAGAAAGGCATTGATGTGCCTTCAAACCAAATAGAAGCTGTGTGGACCACGACAACACCCTACGAGTCATAAAAGAACAATCTATAGAATGAAGTTGATGTGTGGAAGATGTCCACTGCGGACAGCAGCTAAATTCGGAACCACAAATATATACTATAGGAGTTGCGTTTAGCGTGGAAGTTGTCACAGTATGCTACAGATTACATGTGGCGAGCTCTGTGGTATACCTCTTTGGACCACTTTTCCTTTGTTTCGATGGACAACATTTTTGAGGAAATATGTGAGGAATATGAAAATATCCACCACGAAGCCGTCAGCCACATGGACTGTGGAGATGAGAATGCCGTTGAATGTTCAGGTCGAGGGGCATAGAATTCCAAAATACTCGGGGTTACATTCGACAGTATTTTTAAATCGTCCTATCAAACCACAGCTATCTGCGATAAGTTGAAAAATAGGAACAAGGTCCTCAAGTCGCTTGCCGGCAGCACTTGGGACGCTGATAAGGAAACCTTGTTGACCTCTTACAAAGTAATATATAGGTTTGTGGCAAGATATGCGGTTAAAAGGGAGCCTCTAGATCAAGTTGCCTATCGAGCAGGTCTGAATAGCATTCATACTGATGCAGTAGCCGCAGCGTTGAACGGATACAGATTGAATGCCGTCATCGGAGCTCACACCCCCCACCCATAGCCGCTGAAGAACGTCAACTGCCCAGGCAAACCAGAGTAGTTTTGGCACAATTACGTTCTGGATGATGCAGTCGTCTCAATTCCTATTGGACACGGATTGATGACCAGGTGCAGAATGTCTGCCCAGCATGGGGTACGGGTCCTCATACAACACTGCACTTATTCAATTATTCTCCTGAAGATCTGTGGTTGCAGCCAGTGGAAGTAGCTGCATCCGATGGAAAGATTAAGTAGAAGACAAAATCTCGGAATATGGTCACAAAACCGACGTTCTTGGAAATATTTTTTTTATGCCCGGTTCGGAACAACCGTCCTGTCACAAGCCAGCTAAGTAAAAACTAAATATTGTTTGTTCTACTTACTCGTTATAAACTCGAACTCCACTCCGAACGAATTTTTGTCATTGAAATCATGGTTGTACTCTCATTTTATAGATTTTCGCCAAAAGGTAGTTGACATTTTAGATTAGAAGCTTCCACAAAAAAAGAGCATCCGCCAATATCATTCAAATCATGTTGATAAGATTACATTTTTTTGCATGAAAATGTTTTTAATTTGCAATTGGGTGTTTTTTTTTTTCTAATGAGAGGTAGAAAATAGATATCAACTTTCATTATCTATGGTTTCGGAAAAATTGTAATTTGTTTGCTATTTTTGGCTTCCGTATTAGTTTTTGGTAAATTTACCGCTGGTTTACACAAGACAATTTTTTGTGGTAGATAATAGCAAGTTTATAAAAAATGTTTTACTTTTAGAAGTAAAGCTATTACCCGTAATTTTTTTAAGATCTGGGAGAATTTATTTTTAATGTTAATTTTAGTACTTTTGAATGTACAGTTGTATTAAATAAATAAGTTTTTTTTTTACACGTATATATGAATAGAGTATCTTTTAGTACACATATATTTAAGTAAAAAAATATTTTTAGAACACTTTTCTAGAAAATATACACTTTTTAGTACAAATATTTACACTTTTCACCATTTGTCTTATACTTTTATCATTTAGAACACATCCTTAAAGAAACTTCACCATTTAGCACATGATTAAACGGAACATTTAAATTTTAGTACACTTTAACATTTTGAATACAATGTTTACACCATTTTAGAACAAGTGTTAAATTTTTAGTACACGTTTAAAAAAATAGTATTTTTTAGTACACACGATTCTAGGTAAAATATTCATTTTAGTACACTTTTTAATTTGTAAAACAACTTTATAAAATTTAGATTTAGTACAGTTTTATTTACGTTTTAGTACATTTTTCCAATTAAAATTTACATTTTAGTACACATTTCTAGGAAAAATTTAAAATTTAGTACACTTAGGTTTAGTTACAGTTCACATTTCTGGGGAAAATTTAAATTTTAGTACACGTTTTTGAGAGAAATATTACTTTTTAGTACACTTTTCTTAAATTGTACTTATAATATTTTTTATTTAGTACATATTTACGATTTAGTACACGTTGACAACAAAAACTTACATCTTAGTTCACATTTCTAGGGAAAATATAAATTTTAGTACATGTTTTTATGAAAAATTAAACTTTTAGTACACCTTTCTAATTTGACAATTTACATTTTGATTTTAGTACTGGAATTTAAGAAAATAAACATTTTAGTACACTTTTCTAATGACAATTTACATTTTAGCTAGAGAGGAAAAATTTCTAGGTAAAAAATAAATTTTAGTACACATTTATAACAAAAATTCAAATTTTAGTACAGATTTTCTAAACTGTTTTTATAATTTCTTCATTTAGTACAAACAAGTATATTTTAAATTTACTTTTTGACTACATTTTCACATTTGTAAGGAAATTATAAATTTTAGTACACGTTTTTATAAATAATTAAACTTTTTGATACACTTTTCTAAGTTGTTCTTCTGATATTTTTTTATTTAGTACACTTTTGTACACCTTTCCTTTAAAAATTTCCATTTTTAGTTCAAATTTGTAGTACAAATATAGATTTAGTACACGTTTTAGTGTAGGTATATTTTAGTACCAATTTCTAACAAAAATTCTCATTTTAGTAAAGATTTTTTGAGTAAATTTTATTTTTAGTAAAAACAAGTGTATATTTTTTCATACTCAATTCTAGTGAAATGTTCACTTTTTATCTAAATTTTAATTTTTAGTACACCTTAATTGAACATATTTTTTTTAGTACAAAAAATATAATATTTTCGTACTTGATTCTGGGTATATGTTCACTTTTTGGGTAAATTATAATTTTTAGTACACCTTACTTGAGAATATAAATATTTTTGTACACCCTCATGGTAATAAAAAATCTTTTTAGTACTCTTTACTTAATATTACCTGAAGTATTTACATTTACTTAAATAAAAAATTATATTTCCGTTATTAATCACGATTCATGTAAATTCAACTAAAAATCAACATTTTTTTCTCTCCTTATCGAATTAAAGAAATCAATAAAATTCCAAATAAAACAAAACATTTTCACGTGACTTTTTTTTGTCTGTAAACACATTTTAATATATTTTATGACTCATTAAATGAAAAAAAAAACAGCAACGACAACGCCAACAATGATTCAAATCCATGTTTTTATTGTCATTAAAAATACAATTGTTTTCAATATTCGCCCATTGAGGAAATAACAAAACAAATTCTTGTCGACCGACCAAACGACCGACCACCTTTTTCTGTCATTACACACAAATCTATAAATAGACACATAAATTATCATGACAAATTGTATAGACAGATAGATTTAATGCTAATCTCCCTGTCGTATAATTTATTACATTTCATGCTAATACTATAATAATAATAATTGTTTATATTATAAAATTTATAATATACAACACATACACATGTACATATCTAAACAATTGTGCATATTTTCCTGACCTATTTTTTTTTTAATTTAAATTGATCAATTTCCTGCTCTTCCTTCATTTGATTGGTTTGCTCTTTAAACCCATATCAGGCAAAACCCCGCACGCCTGCTCTCTCGCGAAAGTAAATAACAGCATACTCTCATGCAGATTCAATTGAAACAACTGAAAACCCCATTGACACACACACACAAATCGACAACGCAACGCAAATTTGTTATTCTTTGCCCGATCCTGCTTTAAACAATATGACATCTCTCGTGCTCTCTCTTTCTCTCCCTCTCTCTGTCTCATGTAGCTCCCACAACGGTTGTATGTGCAAAGAGAATAGTCCCCCCATTTCTAAATATACAGTTACCACACATGTTTTTGTTTGTGAAAAACAATGCCGCCGGCTCTGCTGATATTGACGGCGCTGCCAATGACGCCTGCTACCAATGCCGCCTTATGCCAATGCCGTCTGCCGCCTTCTGCCAGCCGCTGCTATGCGTTTATCCCCCACAGGTTTTTTTTGTGCCAGTAGAAGAAAAACCATTTTCGAAACCGTATTGAATTTTCAGTATTTAACTAAAAGCCGAACAATAAACAACAAAAAAATTTAATATTCTAAACGGATTATCTGAAGAAGAAAAAAATTTAAATAAATAAGAAACCTACAACAACCAAGCAGCAATTCACATCCAACAACAATACAAAAGAACAAAGTGTAAGTTTTTAAATAGACTAGGTGGTCTACCAAGAAAAAGAAAATAATAGACATTCACAACCTGCCGATCCTATTCTCAAATAAATGAAAAAAAAATAAAATTGAAAAAAGACAAATACATACGCCAACAAATTTTAATAATATATAAAAAAATTAAATAAATTGCAATAAAGTGAAATTAAACAATACCGAAAAATTGTGTGTGCGTGTACTAAAAATTAAAATAAAAAAAAATGAACAACAACTGAATGAATGGTGTTGCGGAAGATACAAAAAAAAATATTTAAAGGAAAACGATGTTTAATACCCAACAAATCATGTCCCTTTTTTTAGTTGTTATTGTGTAAAATAACGGTAACTGTGATTAAGGACCCTCAAAAACGGGAAGAGATCCTTTTTAATGTCATATTTTTCTAGTGGAGTATGGTATGGTACTTCAATTTCCATTTTTAGTACAAAATCTATAAAAATGTGAATTTTAGTACACTTTTTGGATATATTATACATCTTACTAGTGTAGATAAATTTTTAGTACATCTTTTTAGGGAAATTTTTTCCACTTTAGTACACCATTTTTAGCACTAAATCGTGCATTTTTAGTACTAAATCTATAAAAACGTGAATTTTAGTACACTTTTTGGATATATTATACACAGTAGATACATTTTTAGTACACCTTTTTAGCGAATTTTTTCACTTTAGTACACCTTTTGAAATAATGGTAACTGAGATAATTAAATGAGAAGCGATTATTTTTAGTGGCATTTTTTAGTACTAAATCTCATATTTTTAGTACTACATGTCTGGAAAATGTATATATTAATACACTCTCTTTGGATATTGTATACACCTTTCTAAAGTATACATATTTTTAGTACACCTTTCTAGGGAACTTTTTTTCACTTTAGTACATCTTTTGAAATAACGATAACTGAAATTTATGAGAAGCGATTATTTTTAGTGTCATACATGAGAAACGATTATTTTTAGTGCCATATTTTTCTAGTGGAGTATGGTATTTTTTTCAGTGCTAAATCTCATATTCTTTGAAAAATATGAATTTTAGAAAACACTGTTTGGATATAGTAGACACCTTCTTGGAGTACACAAATTTTTAGTACACCTTTCTAGGGAATTTTTTCACTTTAGTACATCTTTTGGAGTATGGTATGGTAGTTTTTTTAGTACTAAATCTCATATTTTTAGTACTCAATCAAATTTTTAGGTGTACTAGGGAATTATTTTTAGTGAAAATTTTTTAGTGGAGTATTGTATTTTTTTAGTACTAAATCTCATATTGTTAGTACTAAATCTCTGGAAAATGTGAATTTTGGTACACACTGGGTAGACACATTTTTAGTACACATTTCTATTGATTTTTTTCACTTTAGTTCACCTTTTGAGTAAATAATACATTTTAGAACACTTTTTGGGAATATGTATATTTTAGCACACGCTTCTGTGAAGGGTGTGTACATTTTAGTACATAATTCTAGAACAAATTTCACTTTTCTTGTATGATATATATTTTAGTACACAATTCTGTAAAGAGACCACATTTTAGTACATGATTCTATGGAACATTTTTTAGTACACTTGTTTTGGGTAACTGATAGCTTTCCAAATTATTTTAAAACTATTTCCTTCAGTTTTTAGTAAACGTAACAATATTTCTCCCTTATTTTAGTACACCCTTCTAGAGTGAATATAAATTTGGTACAGATGTTGAAATATATTAAATGTATTAGTACACTTTTGTAGGGAAGAAGCTGTTTTTTAACATTTTTCTAGAGAATTTAATTTTAGAACACTTACACTTCTTTGATAAATTTAAATTTTTAGTACTTCTCTAAAAGATCATTTTTAGTGACATTTTCTATTGGATTATTTTTAGTACTAAATTTATGGGTCCGATTAGTCGAGTTTTAGTACACATTAAAATCACATTTTTGTACAATATTAGTAAAATCTAATTTTTAGTCATATAGAAAAGTAGCACATTTTTTTAGGGAAAATTATACTTTTTAGTACAAGTTTCTAAAAACATGAGCATTTTTAGTACTTTATTTATACATTTTCCTAAGAACTGTTTTAGTACATTTTTCCAGGGAAATGATGCTTTTTAGTACACATGTGTGTTTTTCAGTTCTAAAAAACATGTGTGTTTTTAGTACATTTTTCAAAGAACACTTTTAGTACATTTTTCTAAGGAAAGAATACTTTTTAGTACACATGTCTAAAAAACATGTGTGTTTTTAGTACATTTTTCAAAGAACACTTTTAGTATATTTTTAGTACACGTTTCTAAAAACATGATCATTTCAGTACATTTTTCTAAAAGCACTTACTTTATTTGTACATCTTTCTAACAAAAAATTTAGTACATTTTATTAGGGAAGGATAACTTTTTAGTACACAGTTCTATAAAAACCATTTGAATTTTAGTACATTTTTCTAAAACCACTTTTAGTACATTTTTCTAGGGAAAGGATACTTTTTAGTACACAGTTCTAAAAACATTAACATTTTAGTACTCATTTGCTAATAACACTTTTAGTACATTTTTCTAGTGAAATAATAATTTTTAGGACATGTTTCTTAAGACATGAGCATTTTTAGTACACTTTTAAATCCCTCTTATATGTACAGGGAATATTTTACTACATTTTTTTAATGAAATTGCATATTTTAGTACAGTTTTCTAAGAAATCTGTACTTTTTAGTACACAATTTAAGTGAAGGTTGAACTTTCGTACACAATGTAGGTATATTAGTACAAACTAAGTACTAGGTATTTTTAGTAGTAACGTTGATACAGATTTTAATACAGATTTTAGAGCAGAAATGATAATTTTTAGTACACTATTGCACTTTTAAAGTATATTTTATTAATATATATTTTATTAATTTTAGAACATTTTTCTGAAAAACAATTTAGTAAACTTATTCGGAAAAAATGCAAACTTTAACTAGAATTTAAATCAAAGGATCTACTCTTTGGATACTATTTTTATTACATTTCGATGAAATGATTAATTTTTAGTACTTATTTCTGGCATTGGTATCCGTTAGAATTGACATTTACGATCAAGTGATATTCCAAACTGATAGTGTGTACTCCACCTTAAATTCCTCCTTTAATTAGCCGTATAATGAAACAAAGGAGAACGGCTTTAAGACTTAAACATGACTCTGAGCTTTCCTTTGTACATTGACACATTTACACCGTATTTGAGGGCATATTTACACCAAACTGGTTAGGGCATTTTTACACCAAACGCGTTAGGACATATTTACAACGCGAACGTGACAAATTATCACTTGATCGTTGTTTAAATTGTCATTTCCTTTGCAAGTACGTCAAATAAATGCGGATTAAGGTAAAACATGGCCGTGTTAATTAACTTAAATGAATAAAGGCGACTAAAAGGACTGTGATATTCCTTCATAATTCGACATTTAATAAAAATAAAATTAAAGAAGCATGCTTAAAAATCTTTTAAGAGTCTTCTCCTTAAAGAATCATGCCCAAAATCCTTTTATAAAATCCCTTTATGTATATGCTAAACAAATATAAAAACATAAATATTTGTTGTTGTTTAAATTTGAGACATATGTACAACAACATGTTCTACTATTGTACTCAACATTGTTCTTGTATTGTTTTTTTTTAAATTTTTCCCAAAGAAATCAATGCGGATGCTTTAAAATTTTGACAGCTAGCCAAAATAATGTTTCATTAACACTTGTCTTTTGTTTTTGTTGTATTTTTTTAATTTAAAAATGTATAACCAACCAAAAAATTCCATACTTCTTACAAAGCCCATTTATAGGCAAAGTCATGAGTTTCATATATCTCAGGGAGGGTGGGTAGTACGTCTCTTCAACATTCATATGCATATTTTTGTATCTAGTCTATAAAGAAAATGTTCATTTACCTGGGCACACAAAAGAATGCGTATCTAGTAGAATGTATATGCCAAGCAGCCAGCCTGTCCGTTGTTGTTCATTGTTTAGTCATTTGTTGTTGTTGTTGTCGACAACAAAATAAAATTTTCGTGTGTCAGTCATCGTCAATATGTATTTTTAAATATTTTTCAACTTAATTTTTCATTTCATGTTTGTTTGTGTTTTCTTCGTGTTTTTGCAGAGAACAGACAATAGCGCCCAACCGCTAGCCAGCCAGTCATCCGACCATCCACCCGTCAATCCATCCATCAATCATGGTCAATGAAATTAATAAACCCTCTGCTATGGCTACCGTGCCAGCAGATGGCCCCGACAATGCTGAATTGGGTCAACGTTTGGCCGCCTCCAGTCAGGCACTTGTCGAAATGCAAAGCGAACATCAACAGCTCATGCAAGAAATGGAACAGTTGCGCGTTCGTGCCGAACAGTTGCAGAGTGTCCGTGAGGTGCAGGAGGAACAACATGAAATCGAAACACATCAGGTGTCCCAACGCTCAGTGGAGCAAGTCAGCCGTTCTGTGGCTGCCGAAGAGGTTATGCACATACGCTGTACCACAACCGAAGAGGTTATCGTTGAAGAAGTCGATGAAGATGAAAACCCCGAAGAGGCGGAATATATCCGTGCCAAATTGGCTGAAATCGCCAAGTTGAAAGCTCAATTTAATAGGGTACAGAATATGATCTCCACTACGGATATGATTGAAAAACACATCGGGGAACAATCATCGGTGGCGGAAATCAAACAAGCAGCTGAGGCCATACGCAGTGCCGCGGCTTCTTCGAACCTGGTTAAACAGGCTAGTCAAGAAGTTGTTCAACAAATGACACAATCAGCCTCGTCCTCATCTTCCAGTGTGGTCAAGCAGTCTAGCCAGGAAATTGTGCAGCAACAACAACAAATCTCTGAATCCATACAAAGTTCCTCCTCCACCTCTTCCTCCAGCATTGTCAAGCAAGCCAGCCAAGAAATGGTGCAGCAAAGTTCCTCAAGCATTAAACAGCAGGTAGCCAGTCGGGAGGTTATACAAAAACAAGAATCTTCAGAGACCATACAACAAAGTTCCACGACCAGTGTGCAGCAACAAGTTGTACAACAACAAGTCGTACAACAACAAGTCATACAACAATCAGCTGTTGAGCAAAGCGTTTCATCATCAACTTCATCGACATCGGGCGCCATTACAGCCGGTGGCGATGAAAAGCAACAACTATTGGAATCAATGATCGATATGTTTCAGGACTTAAATTCCGATCTGAAATCGCAAGCTGAAAGTCTTCGTGAGGAAAGGGAAAGGATTAAGGCGTTAAAAGAACACATCATTGCTTCGAAGAAGGAACAACCGCCTCAGTAGATTGTAGGAAGGAATTTTAGAACAAGAAACCCCATATTCGAATAAGTTTTATTAAAATGGAAATTATTTTTGGCAGATTTAAGATTTAAATAAACCCTATATATAATAATTTGAAAATATTCTGCGTGTTTTTATTTTTAAAATTGGAATCATTGGGGTCAAGGTTTGTTCAGTTTTTGCCAACAAGAATAGTAGAGTATAAAGAAACCCTAATTGAAATAATAGTTCCGCGCTTTCCTACTTCGATGACCCCGCCAAAAACTAAATTCTCTCATGAGGCGCTCAGAAAACTCAGGAGAAACCTATCCTAATCATCAAAACGTCGTGTCTCTGGCTGATTTGGTTCCTTTAAATGCCATCGAATTATCTTGACTGAAGAGTCCCCTGTCTACCAAGAATCACTGTTGAGAAGCCTCAGCGCCTACCACGAGGCTCATTTTCCTCCTCCCGTCAGACAATGTTAATAAACAAAATTGTACTATCTGAGGCGTCGAAAAATTGTCTTGACGGATGAGGGTCTCATCCTCACCCCGTTGGTAATGTTAGGATCCAAAAGATCGGAGGATCGGTTCCTTGGAATATATGAAAATATAGTGCCGCATTCTACCGAGAAATAAACTTTATCCACGAGGCCCATTTAGTCTTCGGTGACTACGTCAGCAAGCTAAATTGTCGCATCTGAGGCTAGGAAAGCCCAAGAGTTCGTGTTGAGAAGCCTCAAATGTTCATATTTGGTTCGACCTATGGTTCGTAGAAGTTATTGAGATTTAATCCTTTGATAAACACCTGCAGTGAATGTATTACGCAGCTATCAGGAGATGATTAATGATTTTATATGGTCAGACGGAGAAAAAATGGTCAAACGGTCCGAAAAAAGTTTCAGATAGCGATAAAAGATTTTTCGGACCGTGTAATTTCTCGAAAACGAGATCAGAATTTTGTCAGCTATATCATGTGATTAGACACGTTGCTACTTCTTCCATTGGGCGCCACGGGAAAGATCTACACCAATAATCAGCAGCGTCGATTTAATACCCCAACGATAGAATTCGTGAAGATTTAATACCCACCGATAACTTCCGTTGGGCGCCACTTGAAGGATATTAATGATCTGATTGGCAGGGGTCATTGACCTTTAATCCTCCGATAAAGAGCTGCAGTTAATGGATTGTACTACTATCGAGAGATGATTAATGACGGTCAGCAAAAACTTTCACTCAAAGAAAAACTTTTTTCGGACCGTGCAATCTCTCGAAAACGAGATCTGAATTTTGCCAGCGATATCATGTGATTAGACATGTTGCTACTTCTTCCATTGGGCGCCACGTGAAAGATCTTCGCCAACAATCAGCAGGGTCGATTTAAGACCCCAACGATAGAATTCATGAAGATTTAATAGCTTGCAACTTCTTTCATTGGGCGCCACGTGAAGGATATTATGGGCATCTACGTCCCACACAATCATCGGAAGCATTATTCTTGCAAGCGAAAAAAAAATCGTGTTACCTCTCGAAAAGATGACCACAATTTGCCACCGAGATCTTGTAATTTAACACCTTACGACTTGTTTCGTTGGGCGCCATGTGAAAGTTAAGGTATATGCCAATGGACCAGCGTCGAATTAAGACCCCATAGATAGAATTAGTGAATATTTGATTCCTTGTGATTTCTTTCGTTAGGCGCCATCTGAGAAATAAGTTCTGCGTCAAAAGCCCAGCGGTGATTTAAGGGAGGGGGCACATACAAGAATTCAGACATGTTCAGTTGGCATTGTATAAAATGCCACTCATCATGTCATGCTTGAAGTCCCCTTTTGTGTTTCCCCTTTTATAAAATTCGGTTAATCCGTGAATCGTATGTAGGGCTCAGAAACCCAAGAATTATTGTTGAGAAGCCTCTCCACCCTCACACGTTTTAGGGTCATGGGATTTAGAGATCTTGTGATTTAACACCGTATGACTTCTTCCGTTGGACGCCATGTCGTCGATTTAAGACCTCTAAGATAAAATTAGTGAATATTTGATTCCTTGTGAATTATTTCGTTGAGCGCCACGTAAAAATAAGCTCTACGTCAACTGCTCAGCGTCGATTTATGGGATACCGGCATGGCATAATAAGTTGTCATTGTATGAAATTGCAATTAATGAATTAATATCAGAGTCGAAATTTATCCTTTATTTTTTACATTAAAAAACCAACTTAACATGCCAGTCCTGTGTTTAGTTCTTTAATGGGAAAACTTGTTTTCGCGCCTAGTTATTTGTGAATGTGAAAGATATGATAAACGTCAACAATCCAGCACCGATGTAAGACCTCAAAAGTTTAATTCGTACAGATTTAATACCTTGTGAATTTTTCTATTGGGCGCCACGTGAAGAATAAGGTATACATCAACTGTCCAGTGTCAATTTAAGACCTCAATGACAGAATTCGTGAAGTCCTAGGGCAGTCTGTTTGTTGATGCGAAATCTTCATGATGTAGATATGATCCTGGTGGAAATTTGGACCGATCTTTATATCTTTTATGTATATTCAGAATATCTCAAATCGTACGGTAATATTATATGGGGGCAATTTCGTAATAAATTGCTGCAAGGAGAAAGCTATTGAGAGTCCGAAATATCAATTTTCAGTAAATTCTTCATAAGAGAACCCCCAATAAGGTTTGCATTTTTCTTTATTATCTTCTAACTAATTTCAACTTGTTATAGTGCCATAAATCAAGCCATTGGAGGTAAGGCATTCTTGTGGTATAAATTAGAGTTGCGTTTAGATTTACGAAATCCACTCGATCTAAAATTCTCAATTTCATTGCTTATACGTCAACTGGATTTGTGAACAGGATTAACGTGACGTATACGCAATGGAATTGACATTTGAGATCGAGTGGATTTAATAGTCTAAACGTAGCCTTTTTGCATTTTTGGTTCATTACTAAAACACATTATCATACAACTTTTCCCACTAATTTCCTATTTATTTATTTTTTGTAATATTATCTTCAATATTTCTTGTTTTTTGTGCATATTTATTGTGGACATAAATTAGGGTTGCATTTTTGCTTCATTATGAAAACATAACCTCAATCGGTACACGTTATCACACAAATTTCCCTACTAATTTCATATTTATATGATTTATTTTATATTATATTATACTTTTTTAATATTTTTTATTTGTTAATAATTTTATTTATTATATGTTAATAATTTTTAATAACAAATTCTCATTTTTCCCTTCTGTCACATACGTTTTTTGACACTTCATGCGTTATACGCCGTCATTCAGCGCCTTTATCATTGAAACGGCGGCAACTCTGCTTCAGTGTCAGCCGGTTCGGAGAGCCAGAGGATAGTCATTAGCAGTTTTTTGCATTGCATATATGTATTTATTGTTTATTCAGTTTGCATTAAACAATAATTAATGTTTTTTATTGTTAAACAACGACAAAATATCGATAATTCATTATAAATTACAAATAAATACATACAAAGAAGAAGAAGAATGTAATAAATAAAAGCAAAATCAAACAAGTCTTGCAGTGTTCGGTTCACAGAGAGAGTCAGTGCGTGTGTGTGGAAAAAAGATGCAAAGGGGCGTAGGAAAAAAATCAATAAAAAATACATAATTTTCCCAACAACTTACGTTGCGACAAACGACATCAAGAAGAAAAAAAGAAAACCCATAGCCTCTATTGCAAATTCGATCATGTCTCCGGCGCCCACAAAAAATCCCAATGTTCCACATAAAGTGTCCACTAATAATACAACAGTTCCTAATGGCAACAGCAGCTCTTTTCATAATCCCTCAACAACGACATCGACAACAACAAATACAACATCTGGAACATCATCACCCATGATGGGTGGAGGAGGGCGTAAACAAACGGGAACAGTGCCCAAGGCAACGACAACAGCAAAAATATCATCATCAGCAACTAGTAATCGACAAAGTTTTAATCCAGACGTAAATGACCATCCTCATCTGCTGCCACAACAACAACATCACCACAAACCAATTTTACAACAACCAGCTGTGGTTGCCCAACAACAACAACACCATTTATCCAATCGTTGTAGTCCATTAAATATTGTGGCATCAATACAACAACAACAGCAGCAGCAACAACATGTACGCAACCAACAACAACAGCATCATCATCATCACCACCAACAACAACAATTGCATAAAAATACGGAAATTGTTGCCCCGATACGCAGGGAATTAAAGGATTTGAATGTAAGTAGAAGTGAGGTTTTATTGAAAACGGGACAATTTTAATTTTATTATTTAATTTTTATACAAAAAAAAAATTTAGTTCGTGAATCTGAAGTTTGATATTGAAGCCAGAGCCCAATAGAACCTCTACAAAAAAATAGCAGCCGGTAGTTGTAATTTTTGTTAATTTGATAGCAAAGGCGGCTACAGCCTCTCAGACACCTTTATTAAATTCCCTCGGCTCCCCTCTAGAGATTCCAAGTCAGAATTTTGCGAAACGGATTTTTCATACATCTGTCACTATAGAGGTTGACCGACCTTTGGAAAAGTAGCATACAAAAAATAATTCCCAATTTAAATCAGACCACTGTCACACAGTCTCTCAAGTATTTAGTCTTTCCGAAAATATTGCTCTAGAAATACTTTATATGTTCTTTCCGAAAATACACACATACAAGTTGTTTTCCCAACTAATCTCCGTCAGTGAGCATATTCAGATTTAAACTTATATGGCCAAGTTAAATTTAAGCCCGTGTCGTAATCTTGGACCTCTAGATGAAGCTAATTTGAGGATCGAATATAATAGTAGATGTCCATATGAGGTTCGAATAGAATAGAATAGGCTCATATGAGGTTCGAGTATAATAAAAGAGGCTCATATGAGGTTTGAATATAATAGAAGAGGATCGTATGAGGTTCTTGTAGAATAGAAGAGGCTTATATCAGGTTCAAATTGAAAAAAGGGCTAATATGAGCTCCGAATATAATAGAAGAGGCACACT